GCCCTGTACGTGATACGTGATATATGATTCGATAAATGCACATAAAAAAGCAAAACCAAAATTTCAACAGATAAAACTATGAAACAATTCCGGAAATGAAATGCGAGCAATATAGCGATTCCAAAAGCACCAGCATCCCCACAAAGCATAGCTCTGTTCAACTGAACAAATTGAATGAAATTTTAATTAATGCATAATAATTTCATTAAAGCCGTTTGTGGCCGTGTCAAAATTGAATTGTTGCAAATTGGCCGGATGTTGAAACGTTTACCGATGTGAAGTTTTCAATTAACCGGTCCGCGTGTCCCGAGGGCACATTTTTAACAAATGTGTCACTTGCAGCTAGGATCTGATACAGTAACAAAGTGGGCCCTGGGGCAGGATTACCGCAACGCTCGTCTGCTACGGCTTTTGATTCGGATCCGGGATCCGGGGGCCGGATTGCGGTTAACAGTCGTAATTTGCAAACAATCTCGGCCCCTCGATGTACACTAACAACCGATTTTGAGGTGACGCAATCCACTTCGCCACTTCTGTTTGATGTCGAATTGCGAAATCGCTTGATCGATCGTACACAGGATGTTATCGAGATAAGGAAAGGAAACATTGTTTTGAAGCAAGGAAAATCTGGCTTTGTCCAGCCTGTCAATTGTTGGAACAGGAACTGTCAACTATCATTTTCGAATTTTGTGTGTGTGTGTGTGTGTGAATATTGTGTTTTACGTTTATTGTCATGCTTATAGGATAAAATGAATTGCCCACAAAGATGAGAGCTTCAATTTTACCTAGAGTTCTTACAAATATTCAAGAAGTATATCTATATCTAAAACATTCTATTCGATTGTTTGGATAATTCTGATTGCAACAAAATTCGAAAATAATAAATTTAATACTGTCTGTAGGTTAATCGAGGAGGTGGTTCATTCATTATTCCATATTTATTTGGGATTTTCTCTCCTCGTATATCTATAAAATAAAAATATGAATATTATTCCAATATACGTGTAGTAAGGACAAATCAGATGATTTGCCCCAAAATGTCACTGCGTTTAAAGAATTTCCCTATCAGAGAGCCTAAAAGGAAAATTCACTAGCTTCACAGTGACAATTTGCATTGAAAAAGCTTTGGAGAAAAGAAATAAAGGTATATAGAAAAAATATCAAATTCTCACTTAGCTTTGGACGTTTCAGGAAGGAATCTACTTCCGTTTTCAACACAAAAATTCGTTATTTGAATAGCAAATTCGTAACTGTCTTGAAACTTTTCAGTTCTCAGTGATAATTGGTGACGTTGGCAATCAAATGAGTTACAGGATGTCTTCATTAGTTGATATTGAATTTACTATTTTCATTTTCAGATTTCAGTAGTAAATACCATGTTCTATCTATATCAACTGAACAAGAAGCAATGCTATTGTCTCCGTTCGGAAGAATGCAAGCAGATTCCTTGATTTTTCTCTTCTGGTTGTTATCTTCTCTTCCAATGATTTTAATATTATTCCACTCTGCCATATGTTGTCCGTCTTCAGTAAGGATATGTTCAGCTAGTTTCGATTTGTCGATGTGTCTTTTCTTCATATTGTACTTATGTTCCTTCGTCCTTACTGAAAGAGGTCTCTTGATTTCACCTTTATAAAACTTTCCACAAACACGAGGTCTGTAAATACAATTTTTTGACGATTGTTCTTCATTTTTCTGCTTTGTTTGAGTTAGAGACTTTTTAGGGGCAAATCATCTGATTTGCTCTTACTACACCTACACGTATATTGAAATAATATTCATATTTTTATTTTATAGAAACGAGAAACGAGTAGAGAAAATCCCAAAGAATCTGGAATAACAACAAATTCCTATTTCAGAAATCTTATAGCTGATGCTAATTGAACTAATCCAATTAATAAATGTTTTCTTTTTGTCAAAACAATCTTTTCTGAAAAATATGGAATTAAAAAATAGTAATTTACGTATAACAAGTCCGAAAAATACAGTATTTTTGGAAGAGTAAACAAAATTCTAGACCGAGTCGTAGGCGAGTCCTGGAAGTCTGTGAGTCCTATAACACAATATATCATATTTTCATTGAATTCATATATTATTTTTTGTTCTTGTTCTTTCAAAATTCACAAAAATACTTGCCGAAAAAAACAGAAGAAAAGATTTGGAGTAAAATCCATTTCCTGAAGTATATAGAATTGAAAATAGTATATTATGTGACAATAGTTGTGAATAGTTTTAATCTTCTCCTGAAGATGCTAACATAGTTAGCGAAACACATGTCGAGGCGTTAAAAAATCGGTTTGGTTAGTGGTGAAACAGTGTATAGTGCATTCTATTCTGTTCATTCAACATTGTTGTAATAGGAGGACGTCTATTTTTGAAATCTATATATTTGATTTTGGTTTAGTACCTATAAATACAAAATAATTGAGCAGTATGTGAAGTGGGAAAGTATGATAGTGTTTTATATATAATCACGGGAAATGTTCTTCGGAAATCTCTGCTATCATCCCTTCACTAGCATGCAATACCAGTCAGGCGAACTAGACAAGCCCAGTCAGCACATCCTTCCGTTGTCAACCTCGAAAGATGTCGAACAGCACTTCATCAAAACTCCTTCATCCATAGAACTGCTATGGCTCTGGAATTCATTGCCTGAGGAAGTATTCCCAACAACATATAATCTCCAGAAGTTCAAAAAAAATTCTAATACTCACCTCCTGTCCTTATCCTCCCTAGGAACGCACGATATTCTTCGAACATTATAGGGATTTCCTTTCGTGCGCTCCAAGCAAGCGATAAAAATAAAAAAGAATGTTTACTTCGAAAGAAATTGTTTTTATTAGAAAATCTGCATGTTCTTTGAAAGTTAGTCTATAATCAGCCATAATACCGAGGTATTTGAATTTTTCCACCCGCTCGATTATTTCATCACCAATTTTTATTTCCATTTTCTCCCCAAGAAAATTATAAAAAATTTATTTCATTATCAATGAGCATGAATTTGGTTTTATTACCATCAATTTTCAATAGATTTCTAGAGCACCATTCTTGTATTTGATTAACTGAATTGTTGAGAGCTTGTACCAAAACCGCTGAATCTGATACAGAGAACTAAATCAAAGTGTCATCAGCAAACAAGTGGATTCTATAGTTACATATCGAAATAATATTCATATTTTTATTTCATAGAAACGAGGAGAGAAGATCCTGAAAAATCTAGACTAATAAAATCAAAACTTGAAGAATAAGTATCATCAAACTCGAAACGTGACATATTTACTTATTCGTCCACCGTCCAAATTCAAATCCGCTTGAAAGTTGAACGACGGTTCGCCCTGTTTTCATGGCCACCTGCCATTGTACATATATAGGCGTATCGGAAGTGCGGCTAGCGTCCCGACGGCCCGAAGCGTGAAAACGACGCCGAAAGACGCCGCGCTTTTCGGGGGGACGAAATCAAAGTGTCAACAAACAAACGACATTAGGAGCAGATCTGAAAGGCAATCTGTACGGGTCCAAATCGATACTCTACTTGGGGCGATATCTCGTGTATATAAGTAAGGGGTCCATTTTTCTCTACTACTTTATCCAGGAAGGGTGGACAGAGAAACAATGTTATTCTTTGATTTCAACAGTTTTTTATATATTTTGGTTATTCTCGTATATCGAATTAAATATCTGCTATCGTCTATCGATCTATCAAAATTGTTCTCATTGTGTTCACACGGATTTTCATTTCAAAATAGATTTTGGCCAATGAAAACACGTACTTTTCCTAAGGTACCTCAAGGTACCTATTAGTATGGCGATTTTCTCGATTCCTCATTATTCCATAATTTTTTTGGGGATTTCTCTCCTCGTTTCTATACCGAGAAGTGCACAAATAACGGCCAGGACTGTAACTTCTGAATTATTCGAGGTAGGGTTTTGAAAATTGGTGGGCAGCTAGTATACCAAATTGCTCCTTAATTGACGAAACAATTCCTGTTCTATCACTTCCGGGTTTACTGGAAACGACACCAACTTTCGATTCTCAAACGGGACCCCCTGTATTGTAAACCATAATAGGTTAGGGATTGTCATAACGAATTCATCAATACCGGGCTTGATAGGGTTATTTCAAACGATTACGCATCAGATATTCACGTTCTCACAATGGAATGATACAATACAATTCACTACCAAATATTTTGAAGCTGATTAATAGGTTTGAAAAATTCAAAAAGAGAATTCAAGAAACATTTACTCCTGTAATATTGACATCTTATCTCATTTTCATAGTTTTCTTGTACAATTACTATAGTTTTTCATTAGGAACCTAAAAGCTGAATAACAGTCATTTTCAGTTGAACATAAAAAAAATTATTTCTTCTTGAGTGTGTCTTATTTTATTGTCTTCTTTATTTCGTCAAATTGATTAATATATTTACCATATTCCCTGCTTCAACCAAATATTGTTTCTTGGGAATAAGAAAGTTGATTAATTGATTGATTGAAAAAAGTGAGGCACGCAGCTCCATATTTCCCAAAATAACTGATATATCTCGCAAAATAATATTTTGGCACCATATATTGCACATCAGGACCTTTCTCAGGAATGAACTGTCACCATTCAGTTATTTCGAAATTTTTTGACTACTATGGGATTTTGGTGCTTTTATTGAAACATATCCTATATTAAATATTGATGGAAGACGAGACCGAACATTTTATTTAAAATAGGAATCATATCAGGTGAATAAAAAATGAGTCCTGTGTAAGGGTGGTACTTACAGCCCATAATTGAATCGAAAGATTTTTTAGTACACTTATAGGATCCACACGATATCAAATGGCATCTGGCGACGTATTCATACCAAGACAACTTCGAAACTAAGTATATATTGATATATCAAAAGCGAGGAGAAAAATGCAATCAACCAAATCAATTTATTTCGATAGATATATTCCATGATAATGTACAAATAAATTATAATAATTTAAATTCAAATCAATAATGTTCACTGATAAATCTGAACAAATGACGAACTGTAAGGAGTAAACACTGGAGATTGAGTCAAAGCAGCAGCATAAGCCTGTACAGAGGGTACCACTTGAAGCTGCTGGTACCGCACCACTTGCGGATACTGTTCGACGAAAACTGGCGTTTCAGGAGCTTGAATCTTGGCCAGAGCTGGTACCGCTTGGATCGGTACAGCACTGGGTTTCTGGACGAGTTTCTCTGGAACGGAAGCTGCAAGAGGTGCTGCATAAAGCAGCCTTTGGGCTTGAGGAATCACCACGTAGACTTGGCTTGGTCGAACTGTGTCAGGGCTGCTTTGACCGTTGGCAGATTGGAGCTTTTGGTTCTTTGCTGGCAAGGTTTCAGCCTGCAATAACGATATTGTGACTTGAAAGTTGCTGGTTTAGGATGAATATGATAATGTTACCTGTGATTGTTGAGCTATTTTCTCCGTTGTTGCTTCAGTAGTAGTTGGAGCTTCTGTGGTGGTTGGTTCGTTCTGAGTTGCTGGTCCATATTCTTGTGAAGGAGCCCCATACATCGTTGGATGTGCTGGGGAAGGAAATTTACAGTTATTCTCAAATAATTTGAATGTGTAATGCAAAGTTGATTATCAATTCTCGGAGAAAAGAGACTGAATATTAGATAATGCATTGCAAGTGAACACATTGATATCTGAAATGTCTCATATTCCAATGAATAAGGTATTCGAACAAACAAAAATGGTTTCAACACTGGGCAAATATATCTTCAGAATATTATTAAATCTGCTTCTTTGTCTTATTGATCTCAGATTTATGCATGGAATTCATGCATTCTTTTAACCTTTGTATTTACTTTCAGTTTACACTTGAGGAAATTACTCTGGTCTCCATTCTTCATCTATACCAGTTGGTTAGGGATATTCAAATCTCCATAGACATTGTATATGCCAACCCCATGCTCTCGAATATTCTTGAGACTCAACAATCAACCCACCATGGAGCTTCTTCCTACAGATATCCTGTTATCATCAGCCTAATGAGCCTACCATGATAGCCCATGAAGACCTTTCATCATTATCCTCTTCTGGTGCAATATTTTTAATCCTGGAGCTGATTCAGCTCCTTTCTGCTACAGAAATTTGATGGAGTTGAAAAAAAAATACCTTGTGATTGTTGGGACCTTTCTGGTAGTCTGAAAGCTGGTCCACTCGGTTGCCATCCACTTGCAGAGTATGGAGCAACTCCTCTTGGTGGTTCTGCTGCTGCCATGGAAACTATCACCAGGATAATTGCTGCTGCGGCCTACAAAATCACAAAAAACTATAGAATCTATGACTATAGGTCAGGTCTATGAATACGCGGTGAATTTTAGAGAGGCAAAAAACACGATCTTATCTCTTCTGATAAGCCAGAATGAATCTTATCACTGTGCCACTTTGAAAAACATTTCACCTACATCAATTTTTGCGTAAATGTCGAACTTATCACATTCAAACGCGCCACTCTTTTGTCTTTTCACCATCTTTTCACCACTGAATCTCATCATTGTCTCTGTCAATTTATATCACTCATAAAGTAGTGGGTTCATTAACTATACTCACCTTCATATTGTAATGGATCGAAGTTGTTGATGTTCGTAGGGATTGCGATAACTGACGCTGATTGAAAATGGATCGCGCGTATTTATATTTGTTGTCGAAGAGGGGTTTGGAACGATTTGATCATTTTATTATGCGTGATTAGGTAAAAAATCGACAAATTGGTACCCTGTATTTGATTGCTGAAGGTGCTAAGGTGATATGTGACGCTGATAACGTATTCTGAGGAAGAATTGGCATTGACCTGAAAGACGTGATTGTGATGTTTAAGTGAGTGAGCCTTGTTTATGATTGTCATTCGAAATAAGTCATTCACCTGCGAGAATGCATTATTTTGTTTGTTGCCTTGCCATCAGTGTACAACAAAAGAAACGGAAAGTGAAAAAACTCATGTGAAATAAAGTGAAGCTTAGCAGAAGACTATGATTAAATAATGAAATAGAAGAATATACAACTCATGCATGCCTAAATTCTCTTCTCGACTCTCTTGTTGATTACATGTTTGGGAAGTAATTAATATTTCAATAATAAGTTGATGAGAAAAACACTTGGTTAATCAGACCGATTTTATCTCAGATGAGCGATATCGTTCTTTGAATCTCTTTCCCTTGCTCCCACGTGTTTGTCCTATATATTTCATCTTATTTCATGAATACCGGATCATCATTATCATTGCTTTTATCCTTCGGATCAAACATCGTTAGACAATATACGAAAGGTATATTCATTCAATTACGAGGATATACCTAAAGGCTTACCTATACTTATTGATCCATGCATGCCAGTTTACAAATGCTCTTGAACACATTGTGAAGTTCTGTTGATTGAAAATACATTTCCAAGTTTTAGTAAACCACCTGGCATATCCGTATCCCTATTTCCTGCTTAACTAGCTTTTCAGAATATTACATTGTTTGGCTCCTTCATGTATATTCACAGTTACATGAATAACATCTTTCCCTATTCAGATATACAAATATCCTACTTAAAATTTCTTTAGATCTACAAATAAATTGAACTATTGTTATGGTTGTTATCTAAATAAAGGTAAACTAACTAGGTAAATCTTTCAAAGGAAACCGACTGAGCAGAATAGGTACCTGCAAAATACATCGGTTTGTCTAGTAGGTAGAATTGATTTTAGAAACGCCACAGTTTTGCTATGAAGCAATTTGAGTTACAGGTATTATTTGTTTTTAATATTATCTTCTATGGAACCTAGAAAAAAATAAGTTCAGTCGATTCAGTTGAGGATTTTTTTTTCGTTACCAAAAAGTTAGAATTCCGGTTCCATAACTTACAGTGTATGTGATATAAATCAGGAGTGGTGAAAGAACTTACAGTCACAACTCCACCACATAAACAATTTCATAATAACCAACGGTCATGGACATAAGGACATGTTTCGAAGGATTAATCCTTCATCATAAGCAAATTTATAACAAAAAAATCTGTAAGAAGAAGCTTATGTTATAGTTTTTAAGTATTGATAAAAAATCTAAATATATATACCATTATTGATAGAAGAAGATTACCACCTAAATAACGTGAAAAAAACATGGCTAACCGTGCATAGTGCGGGTGAGTAACTATATATTAGAACAGACATTATCATAGCTCAAGAGCTTAGTTTTCAAAAGTAGTTTGCTATAAAGCAAATATTATAATAAACCGAGATGTGGATCTGAATTTGTTGAATTAGGTTAACTAATCACAAAAGACAATCGAAAAATGATAATTGACAATAATGGCGCTGAGGACAAAACACAACATCAGAATGACACCAGTCAAGTCAAAACCAAGAAAGGTTTTGATCCGAAGTGACATAATGATAAGGAGTTGAATAATTCAAGACTATCGAATTGGGTTAGTTCATTGAGGCAGTTTTTGACAGATTTATTGATTTCCAGGGTTTCAAAGGGGTTAAGTTTTTTTCCCTTCTCACAGATATGTAGAATTTATATGTTAGAATTGGGATCAAAAGAGTGTTTGTCATTGATATAATATGGTTAGGAAAAACAGAATTGGAATCATAAAAATCTCTTTCAAACTTATTTTCTATGATACAATTGTTTTCTGATACTCTGGTTTTGAACTTGCGACCTGTTTGACCAATGTAGCACACTTTACAATCATCATGCATTTCTAAAATTTAATTTATAAACACAAGATTTTTCTAGAATAGCTATCTCATCTTTTGTGTTGACTTAGGCATCACTCCCTAGAGTGTTGACGGTTTTGAAAGAAATTTGATATTTCTATACAGGATGATCCACGAGGGATGTCGTATCAGAAGTATCTGGAGAACGGAAAACCAGATCATTCTGAAAATTCGTATGCATCAATGTTCTTGTACCGCTCTTGTACCAGAGAGTAGTAGCAACTTGGTTATTTCATTGAAGAAATCCATTTCGATGCTTGGTATTACTATCAGCAATAACCTTTCTTGGGAAAATCCCGTGAGATCAATTGCTGAAAGTGCATCCCAAAAACTTTGTTTTCTGTTTCGGACCGGGAGCTATTTCACTACCAGTCAGCTGCTTATGATCTATAAGGCACAGATCCAACCTGTCCTGGAATACTGTTCCCATATTTGGTATGCAGCTCCCAAACATACCCTGAAACTGTTGGATTCTGTCCAAAAAAGGGCAATTCGTCTCGTGGGTGCCTCGCTCACAAACTCACTCACTTCTCTGGAACACCGTAGAAAAGTTGGCGATCTAGCTCTATTTTATAGATATTTTCATGGACGATGCTCTTCTGATCAATTGTTCCGCCCTTGGCAGTCCCCGCGAAATTAACCCGTCGAGTTGAGGCTTCGCACCCCTTCGTGGTCACTTTGGAGACCTGCAGAACATCTCTTTCCAAAGACTCGTTCATCCAACGAACAGCGAGGCTCTGGAGCACATTGCCAAGGGAGGTGTTTTCCGAGGCATACAACCTCTATAAATTTAAGAAGAACACCAATTCCTACCTTATTTCCCTTGGTTCTCACGATGTTCTCTGAACATTATGGGATATTCATTTTCTTGGGAACCAGAACATGAAAAAAAATGGCACACCCTGTGAACTATTTAATTCATTACATGATTTTTTGTTAATTTCGCATTAAATTCCTCTTATATTTTCCTATACCTATATCTGGAGCTGTTCTCGAGATAATAATTGATTTGCATTTTTCGTGCATTGTACAACAGCACAATGTGATGGCATGCTTGAATTAATGAATAGCCGAAAAACACGATTCTTATGCCATATTAATTGTGCAAAACTATTTCAATCCCTTGTAAACAAATAAGGAAAGTGTTTTACCTCCAGGGTCGTTCATCTGACAGATCTTGCATGGAGCTTATTGTTAAGAAATCGATCCATTTTTGTCAGAAATGTTAGGGCAATTTGAAATAAATAATGACATTGTACGCCCTCTAGATGTTACTAGAAAATTTCCGGAAAAAGCTTAATATCGACTTTTTTTCTTGAAATTGTCACTTATAATATCACGAGAGCTTCAATTATTTCCGGAAATTTTTTCGAGAACACAAATTTTCTGAATATTCGTGTTCGAGAAAAAATTCCCGGATATTAATTGAAGCTGAAGTGGTATTCGGTAAGAAAATTTCACACTGAAATATTATATTACAAGTGGGGTGGGCCTACATAATATTATATGGTAAATTGTTGATAAATGATTTCTATTCATTGACTTATAGAATAAACTCAAAATAATCTGAAGTTGAATGTGAATGTCATTTAACCTATGAACGCGTCAAAAAATTTCCAGTGTAATTTCATGCTCCGTCCCCCCAAGGAGGAGGTAAAAATTTCCAAGAAATTTGTTTAGTTGCTATGGTAACGATACGAAATACAGGCTTTAAATTGATCGAACATGTTTGGTGTGAAATTTTAACAGGAATACGTGACTCGAATATTTCAACGTACTCATGTATACCCTGTATATCTTGACTCGTCCAGTGGCTTTTTAAAGTTTGTTTCAATGAATCAATAAAACTACTACTACCTTTACGCATATAGGTTTGTATGTATAAAGGTACAAACAAGTATTTGAAATTCCGTTCAACCATGCACCACCGTTCTCCATTCAACTTTCGACTCGTTGAGACTTTTCATCAGCTGGCGCGAACACAATAACTCAAATGTTGATATATCAATGTACACTTCTGAAAGTAAGTGGCAGTAAGGGCGGATCCGGAACACCCTTTTCGAAAATGTATCGTATAATTTACGATCTAAAGAGCCGTAAGTATCGGTTATGCTTTATGAAATATGATGGGGGTCGCCATTCCTCTTAATAGAATAATGGCATAATAGAATATTATATTTCTCTCTATCGAATTAGTATTGTTGATTAGTCGAGTGTGAATTGTTCGCTAATAAAGCGGTACTAAACGTTGGTTGTTGGTTGGCTAAAGGGCGAACGATATAATATAGAAAGGTGGGCATTTGACGTTTGGAATTTAATTCGTCAATTGCTTGACTTGTGCCTCTTTTGATTATGCAATCGACTTATTCAAGTGGAATTGGTTTCACATTACAATGATGTGAATTTAAAATATGCCCACTTTATAACTGAATCCTGAATAGTAGACGAGTAGACAAAATTCTAGGCCGATCCGTAGGCGAGTCCTGGAAATCTGCGACAAGTAGAAAGGATTTCTTTAATCAAACGAATCCATTTTCTTGAAAATAAATTGCTTTGTACAAGAGTTTTTCATTTGAATGGAGCAATATACACTTGTCTGAAATGAATTGGCATGCTTGCATCGTTTCTTGAAACTTCTTGATACGAATTTGCTGAACATAAACAGTATACTTCCTCATTAAAGAAAACCGCGACTTCAATTGACATAAATTCTTTTTTATTTTGGTTCAAGAAAATCTCTGCTTGTCTTAAAGACTTGCAGTGACGTATATACAGCGGTACGCCTGCGCCCATTCGAATCCTCAGTCGTTAGCCGCCATTCGTTATTGCCGCTGTTGTTTCTTCTGAAGACGGTGCATAGCACCTTTGTTTTTCAATGGTGAAGTGTTCAAGAATCAAGTGTGCTAAATCATAGATAATAGTGGAGTGGTATCATCTTCACAGCAATGCGG